TAAATTCCAAGAGGTTCATTTATCCCATACTATCACCTTTCAAATTTCCACGATACATTCGACTCTAATGAATTGCGTCACGACAGACCAAAATCTTTAAGCACTTCGCCGCTGGGCACTACAAAATCACAAATTGTATTCTAATCTCATTCAATTCCATTTAAATCATTAGGTAATTGGTTCATTAATTGGCTCAGTACCATTGAATAAGATTAATTGATACGGTTAGAGTCAATGTACAAAAGATCCTATCACAATTTTTCAACTCCGTCCTAAGACGATTGATCATGCGTTGTGCTCAGTCCTGACAATTTATTCGCATATTTTTGAGGAAATTCAATCTTTCGTTCGTTTTTAACACAAAAATCTTCGTTTTTGTTCATTTGCTTTCAAATATCAAATAAATCATTGTGTAGCAAATGCAATTTTACAACCTTTTTTATGTTTATTGATTATCTCCTCTAGAGAGTCGTTCAACTGAACAAACATTTTGTTTACGTTCTCGAAATAAGCTATTCAAAAAGTGGTTATGTTTTCTGGCAACATGATGCATTCCGTCATCTTCAAAGCACATTCTCATAATCGCACATGCAGGATATGCAAGCGCTGCCGAATAGTGTACCTAAACCACCGATTACAATGAGACTGATCGTGCCAGCAACACAGTGCGGCAGTCTGATTGGCAAAGGCGGATCGAAAATCAAAGAAATTAGAGAGGTGTTATCAATTCTTTCTTTCGTATGTAACGTGCCAGAACGAAATTATAGAACAACACAATGAGCAGTTCGATCACCAAATAAAGGATAGTACAAAGCAGATTGCGTCGGTTTTGTGAAAGGGCACGATGAGTGGAACATAAGCAAGCTTCAACAATGATTTATAGGCAACGGGAGCATCGATCCAAGTGGCCAGTGAAATGTTGCCGAGTTCAACGGAACGTGCTGTGACAATATCGGGTAGTGCAGATGCGATCGTTCTCTGTATGCAACAAATATGCCATATACTCCTCGAGGTAACTCATCCACTTCCACCTTCATCAACCCACCAATGAGACTGTTTGTGTGAGCGTGAATCTTTGCTCGTATTCACCGATAAATTTCGACACGGAATACGAACTAAGTAAATGTGATCGATCAGCCACGTAATAAGCATGTTTCAGGCACCACCCAAAGGTACGACCCTGCCATATCGTCCAAAACCAACCTTCAATCCACTATTACTTGCTAGTTCAGCAGCAGCTGCAGCTGCACAGCAACAGCAACAGCAACAACAACAACAGCAACAACATCAACAACAGCAACAACAAGCTATCGCAGCTACTTTCCTTCAGCCTTATCCCACCGCCGTCATCAATCCTTCTGATGTTAGTGCTTCATGATTATTGCCTTAAATAATGACCAACTTCAATATTCATCTCAAACTTTACGAAAATGTGCATTAAGAATTGATTCATGCAACTTCATATATACGTACAGTACAAGATTAATGCAAACACCAAAGAGGAAACGAAATCTTGTGAATCATGATGAAGTATCTTTCATTACCGCAAAAGTTAAAGTGTTAAGATAACTTATATTATTGATCTTCATCGCCATAATCACCTTCTGTTTCGTTCAATTTCAATTGGCTATTTTCGAATGGTTTCACTGTCTTGTTCAATCAACCGATCAATTAGTCGCTTCTTCGTATCACCGATCTATTCGTTCGTGACTTTAGCATTGGATACTGTTAAACCGCAACAATTTCCCTGATTTACTATGCAAAAACTCTTGACTTTAACCTGATTAACATTTCTGTATGCATGTACTGCTTCAGTGGTGATCAGTGTTGCTCCTAGTGCATAACAGTATCGTCGATCACTTCAGTCAGCGATATAACACGATACTGAAGAGTTTCTTTTGGCAACATTCCGCTTTAACCTTATCGCACATCTTTCATTTTTCGAATTCAGCGATCTTTCATTGCAAGTTCAGAGTTTTTCGAAAACAAAAGACGAATGATTCTTAATTACAACTTTCATGAACGGCCTGAGTTTTCGCGAAATATCCAAAAGGCAAAGAAAAATCTTTTGCTCAAAGTTTCATTCACTCTCTGTTGCCCACTTTTTCGTCAGATGCTATTCGGACATCGAATTAGAACAGAAGTAGATGAAATGTAATCCTCCGCAAGTTGAAAAAATGAAGCGAGAGGTGCTACGCAAAAGAAAGTAAAAATGTTGATTCATTTTCTCATACGAATAACTCGAAGGTGAAAATCAAAGATTGTAAACATTCCTTTCTTACGTTGAAAAAAACTCAAGTCTAGTTTTTATAAAAGTTGCCAAAAGCATTTTCATAAAGCTATTCGAATGAAGGAAGCCTGGTGATGAGAAATATTCAAATCATTCGCTTCTTTGATGTTATAAATATGCATTCCATGAAAACTGATGCTTTTATTTACATTGCTGTCAGTACATATATTGAATAAGTGGCTAGAAGATCACATCACACATCTTTCATTAGCATAATCATAATATTACGATTCGAATTTTTCAAACGCCTAAAAATTGCAATTCATCCTTTAGGCATAATTCTGAAGTTCGTCATATTCTTTGTCATTCATTTATATGAGATGCAATCTAAATTTAAATTCCTCATAGCAACGCAGCAAACAACTTTCGTCGATAAATCCCAACTAGGAAATTTGATGATGTAATACGATCGATTGTGTGAGACATTTGTGTACAATTAGATAACCACTGAGATTTGATCAGCTGCAGCAGATTGCATTATATATGAGGTAACGGCAGCTTTCGCTATGAAATTGCAATGAGAAGGTGAGCAAACACGGATAAATGCCCATCTGTGGGTAGCTCTTTGAAGTGATATTGTTCGTTATGACGATCACATTTATATAACAGATGATAGATATATACGCAAATGTACATATCTATAGATTTATGTTTACTTGGTAACTTATAAAAAATGCATGTGTTCAGCAATAAAATGAGTTTATTTTGGATCAATATGAGCTGTAGTTAGAAAGAATTGAATTGCTGAAAGAAAAGTTTCGGTGTTTCAGTAAGTGCATTGTCAAGAACGGATGCATAAGAATGAACGGAAGAATACGCTGTCGGTAAATTGAATTTGAGTGAATACATAATTAGTGTGGATGATTTGGGTTGGAATAAGCATTCAGAGACAGTGGCTATAGGATTAGAGTTGGCTCGTTACAAGCTTTTCACTGCAAAGATTTATTTTGAACGTAACTTAAATCTTTAATCATCAACACAAAGCTAAGCCTACATAATAACGCAACCACCTAAATGCTTGTAGCAAATTTCTTGGCCGAAAAATAACCGAACAAATTACAAATCTAATTATTTTATCTTTTGTAATGATTCCTTTGGTTTAACAAGTTTTTTGAAGGTATTTTTAGATTCTTTATTGATGCCATATGCTCATAAATCATAATTTATAATCGATTCAGCGTCATAATCCGTTGCAGTGGTACTACATCGAAGAGCATCTACAGTACTAGTGGCAATAAAAGCACTATAGATGCTTTCGAATAGAAACAATTATGAAAAATTTTTCACAGTGTACAAACTCACCCGCAAGCTTTAACTTATTTTGCATATATACGCTGCTAGCAGAATTCATTACGCTGAGGAATAACAATGAAAGTGATCATAGCAAAAATAAGCATCGCATTGTCAACAGTGATTAAATGTTTCTTCACTGAAGAAATGAAAGAGGACGAAATAACTGAAGTATAGTCTAATGAAATGAAAGTGAATAAGTTCATCAAAAATTCCAAGCTTCACTCAACTGGTGTAATTGCTCTCAAATATCCTAATGGTTATGATGTTCCACCGATGTTCGCAATAACAACATTAATATTGTAAACTTAACGCCGTATTGTTATGTAATGCTTTCAACTCGAAATTAATTTGCCATAAAATTGCTACTGTGGAATGCTTTATTTGAATTTCAGCTGGCTAGACTTTATTCCCATTATACAGCAACCCAGTTCATACCAACTCTGCCTGCACTCAACCCTCAAACAGGTATCTATATCATCATCATCATCATCATCATCACCTAAACATTCATCATTATCCCATTATTATTTCATCTCTTTCCCTTTCACTCTCGGTTCTTCAGCTATATATCACCCATTATATTCCTTACACTGATATCTCACCGAAAGGCTCATTTACCTGACTTCTAAACCCTTCGCCTCACCTCATATCACCCAATAATACACCATCGCAATTCACCTCACTTCAAGCTCTGTC